TTTTTTTAAACAACAATAAAGGGCCCAAGTGAACAGAAGTTGTGGACTTAGCACATTTTCGATCATATGCTCTAATCTGTTTATCATTTTCAGACTGAAATGGCTGCCAACACTCCAATCAACATGATCTACGCTAGGGAACACTGGATCCCGATCAAGGAAAACAACTCACAACTGGACCCAGAAGTCTTCTCATGCCAAGATGACGTGGTCGTCTCAATTCTAAAAGGACACAAGCTGTGGAAGGCACTGAGCAAGAACGCTGAAGTCCCTCAGGTGTATCTCCAACAATTCTGGGGTACACTTGACAAGGACGTAGATGCGAATGGCAGGCAAATCGATGACGTCCTAGCTGCTACGATCTGCAACACCCGAGTCACAATCACGAAGGAGCTCGTCCAACAAGTGCTACAGATCCCGGAGGAGGAACACTATGACGCGTTGGCCTCAGAAGCGCAAATATTTGAAGACATGATCACTCTAGGCCACGCTGAGCCCCTCCGGTTGATGTCCGCGATCAAGACAGCAAGATTTCCACGACCATGGAGGACACTTATGGCCACACTAAACAAGTGCTGCACATCTAAGCACAGCGGCTTCGACAAATGCAGTGGCTACCTCGTCTACATCTTCCACGGCATCGCTTTCATGAAGAACTACGACTTCACCTCACTAATCTGGGGTGACATTCTGGAAATGCGAAGAAGAAAATTTGAAACTGATCTGATCAAACATCTGCCATACATGAGATGGTTCTCACTGCTGGTGCGACACTTCTGCAGAACAATTCCAACGATTCAACGGCGCAAATCATCTGAGAATGTCAGCACTCCAGCCCTACAATATTTAAAGAGGATGCCAGAGGTACGCACATTGGTACCATTACCTATTCCTGTCCCTCTCCTCCTGTTAGCCGGTCGAAATGATCCACATGTCATACGCTACAGCGAGGAGAACAACATCATACTCCCTATGGCTCAGATAAACCCCCCTGAGCCTGCCCCTGGGAGTCAGCCGAGAGTGAGTGAGGGTCCTGAGAGTTCAACCCGGCCACAGAGACCAGTGGCAAGCTGGCCCCATGATGATCAGACTATGTCTGCTGAGGGCCACACCCGTGCTGAGGAGTTTACCCGTGATTCGCCAAGCGTAGCCACAACACAAGACGCTGACGATGAGGGCTCTGGGAGCAAGGCTGAGGACGACAACGATGATGATGATGAGGACGACGACAATGCCAAGGCAAAGGGCAAGAAAGTCGAGAAAGCCCGCGCTAAGAAAGGACGACTCGTTATCAGGCTTTCTCGGGCTACAACACAAGAGCAGTCTCACCAGATCAAGGACACTCAAGGAAACATCATCAGTGAGACTCGCTCCAAGGTTCGCCATGACCATGCCTCATCATCTACTCCTGTGCAAAGAGTGCAAACCGCGAGCAACCTGGCAGAAGAGTTAGCTTTGTACGACAGCTGCTCTGACCTAGACACAATAAACCGGGCTAACCCCATAGGTGCAGAAACTGATATTTTCAGTTTCCGAGTAGAAGACGCAGCATCTAGCCCAACCGCGCATGCACAAGCCTCACCTAGCCACTCTGCTGCCTCCCAACAGGTAGTAGTTTCACATATAGGGGATCTTTTACCCACCTCGTTGCCTCCCTACGAAGCAGCTGAGGATTTACTTTGTGGTCTTCCACCCCAGACCACTACCCCTCCTTCTAGCACATTGAGTCTAGTTTCCACCATCCCAACTTTTTCCACATTTTCTAGGACACATACACTGCTCACACCACTGCACACGACAGGTGCACTTTACTTGTCCTCAACGATCGGAGATACGTCGATGATGATCGGAAGTCCTGCTGCTCAACAGATATCTCCATCATTATCTGCAGGCCACACTTCGGTAATCTTTACTGATGCTGTGACAACGGTTACTACCCCTGTAACCGGACACCCTGACCCTACCAACCTTTCTGTCATTTTGCAGCGTTTCTTGGATTCCACCATTAAACCATGGGTGCACGAAGCAATAACCGCTCGGGCACAGGAATTCAGGAACACCCCGGCACTGCATAATGACATCACCCAACCTCAACCATCATCCTCACATACCCAAGAAACCCAACCACTTCCTATCATACCTACCCAACAAACTTCTGAACCATCCACAACCCTACCCCACTCACCTACTGCTTCAAGGGGAACCCAGGATACAGAACTAGTGTCCTCCCCTACTTCGACCACACCTTTTCCTGACCCTAAATCTTTACCGTTCGAGGTACTCGAGAACCTTATGCTAGATCAACTTCTAGCCACCGAAGAAGGCAACCTAACCCAGAAACAAAAAGACCTTCTTCGGATCCTTAAGCTTGACAGCTCATGCCGTGATAGTCTCCTCGGTCACAAACGTTCGCATGAGGACCCCGATGACTCGGATCCTCATGAGGGGGAGAACAAGAGACAAAGGACACTTGAGCGTGATGCGTCAACAAGCCAACCCTCTACGCAATCCAACCAACCTGAATCCTCGAACTATCAGCCCCCACCATCCACTCATCATAAAAGCCAAACAGCCAACTCACCCACATCTAGCCCGGTCGAGCTAGAAACAACACTCCTAGGCTCATCTTTCATAGATGTAGACCAAGGATGGAGTGGAAGTCCTGAGGTTGCTACTTCAAGTACACCTTTCTACTCAGGCCATCAGAAAGAACCTAGTTCTAATCTGATGTCAACGGGCAATCCTAGTGATCCCGGAGTTACTATTGACAGAGCGCCACAGCAGCAGCAGACTCCCTCCAGCCAACCTGATGATCAGACACCCGATGAACTTGAAGAAATCCTAGTCTATGACAAATGGCCCCGCCAGTGGACAGAATGGGATGATCTTAGGGTGGAGGCGGAGCAGTACGAAATGTGTAGAAGTTGGCAGCTCAGAGAGTTTCTCAATAAATATCATGCACAGATGATTGGGCTCGACAATGATGAGATAAAAGAAGGAGAAAAACGCAAAGAGCCTGAATCTATCACTGAGCAAAAGGCTACTCAGAAACCTGTAGATAGTGTCAGAATCAAGAACCCCTTCCTGGAAGAAATCAGAGAACGAATTTGGCGCAAACCAGAGAAGATCAAGACATACACAGAACTCAGGATGCGTGGCATCAATCATCTCAAAGGAAGAGACAGAGGAGGAAACCTGTACATGCTCGGACATAGATCCACTGGAGAACGACGACAGATTTTGAATCATAATCTTGCAACAAGCGGATGTCCAGTACAAACAATCCTGAAAGTTACAGAAGAGTACCTGGAGAAGATTAAATACATGGTCTTTCATCTACAAAGAACTGATGGATCAACCTTCACTTGTCAAGAAAACGATTTCTTTCTGCTACATATGGACGATGTGTATCAAATGTTTATGAGATGCAGAGAGCTACCGGTCCATAAAGATAGACTTGCAAGAGAAGGATTTGAAGCCATAAAAAGATTCATGATGAGACAAGTTCGATACTATGGAGGTCATGATCTTCAGATGGGTCTGGAAAGTAATTATCCCAAAGTGAATCTTACAAAGCCAGAACTTTACAGACCAGAAATAGAAGACTTCCCAGAAGATCATATCTTCGACAATTCAACCTCAGTCATCTACCTGAATCATGAAGGAAAGAAGCGCATTTTGATTATCAAAGAAATAAACAAATACTGCGACGGAACGCTGAAGATCATCAGAAATAGAATGAAATCAAAGAGAGAAGGACTTGTCAAGAAATCAACAGAAGCCATAAAGAAAGAAATCAAAGAACTGGAAAGAGTTGATGAAATTCTGAAGGCCATCAATAAGCAAATCGATGATAGAAGATCTCTCAGAAATTACGAGCATGCACTCAATCTTAGAAAGCATTATTTTAAAGCTCAGAAGTGAAGAAAAGAAGAAGCAAGAACATCTGATCACAAAGGGGGAGATTGTTAGAGATATTTTCATTATATTGTGATCAATGTTTCTTAGCTATTTATATTTAGCATCTTAATTTAATAGATTAGCTAGAATAATGAATAGGCCTTTTAAGGCAATTTGTAATAAAAGGTTTTATACCTTTTTAGGTATGGGCCTCCTAGAAAAAGGAGCCCAAATGATTGTAAAACCTACCTTTCCCGTCAGGCTATATATATGCCTTAAGGGAAAGGCTAGGTTAAGCTTTTCGTAACATTCCTGTGCCGCAGTGCCTATATCGGTGATAGAAGTTTTACGCTAAATTGTTCATCATTCTGTAAACTTCATTCATCGTTCAATGGAAAGCTTCATTCCCAGATCTATCTTCCATACATACATATTCTAGACTAGAAAACAGGGACCTAACAATAACGTTTAGGAAATTTTGGATTTCCAAGTATTTTTCCTTTTGATGGGGTCCATTGACAGAAAATAGTGCCTTTCCAAAACTCTGGTGAATTTTTATAAGATTTCTTCCTAGCAAAAGAATAAAGTAAGAATGATTTAGAGTCACACAAATTTCACCAAATTTGGTATGGGACAATTTAAGTGGGATTTCCCGAAAAGGTAAAATGGGACAATATTAGCGGGACAGAGGGGGTAATAGTTTATAAACTTGAATACATAGTCTTTAGTTACTAATGGTTATCAAACAAAATTATCTGAAATAATGTGCATATATATAAACGAAAAAACATGTATACATATATAAAAATATTTAGACATATGTCCTCATGTTTTTTAAAATTAGTGTGTTTTTCCCATATTTTGTGTCATGTATTTTTTTAGAAACCATATTTCCGATTTCCATACTACTCAGGCAATGACAATGTTTGAAATTGCGTTTTGCAAGCTTGAGGCGGTTTCTTAGCATTACCTATTGTGTAACCTCATTGTGCAATTTCAAACGATGGGCAATAATACATTAAGAAAGCATTAAGTGATACAAGTTTGAGATAAAGTTAAAACTCATGGCCCTGGAAAAGTGTATTAACTGGAATGATTACCTAGAATCACGACGAGGGCATAGTACATCAATTTCGTCTATGAAGATAACAGATGGCTTCCCAAGGTTTGCATGAGACGATGCTTTTGCAAATGCTTCCCGCAAAACTCTCTCGCTTTCTCCAGTATGTGCTCTATAGACACTGTGTGGGCTACAGATGCACCACAAAATTAATGACATTTGGGATTCATGCCCATATATTTATCACAGCTTCTCATATGGGAAAAGAGATAAGGCATTCACATATGACCCACAAATATTTTCTTGATATCTCCCAAAGCAACTAATGTGTGTCAAGTTTCTTCATAAGCTATGTAACGTTTTAGCATAAATATCTCCACTTTAACATCATGATAAGCAATGAAACATTTCATTAACTCCAAAATGTACATTTTATTTCTATGATTCTATCACTAAAATGTGCACATAACACTACCTTAGTCCCGAAAAAGTCACCATTGTAATACTAGGATCATTATTTTAAACACGAATTACACGACTCTATTCTGGGGAGGAATGAGTACTTAGTCTCTCATCTGCTTAAAAATAGAAAATAAAGCTTGCTAGGGGATAGCTCTATATGTATAGATCTAAAAAAACAAACATGACACACATAAAACATTACAATATGTAGTACCTAATAACAGTCAAATGTGCTCCACATTCTTGAACAACTGCTCTAACCAAACTTGTCTGCAAATCCAGTAATACATTATTGGAACAATATTTGAGAAATAGATCCTTTTTTCTCACAATGCAAATGGTGATCAAGCTAAGAGATAGATAGCCAAGAGAATAAATGTGTATCTACCTTTCCAGTACCAGGTGGACCATAGAGCAACAAGCCACGAGGCCACTATAAGAAGACAATGAAAGATACCCACAAATAAACAAGTCTATCAATATTATTAGTGAGGGGAACTATACAAAAACATTCGTATCCAAATTACTTTGAGGCCAAGCTTTTGAGACTCTTGAGAATACAGGAGTGGATACATAATGAGTTCCCGAAGAGCACGGACCGCCTCTGCATTTCCAGCAATGGCATCCTCAGCCATCCACTCTCTGCCTCCAGTTGTACTTCCATTGCTGCTTTCCATTAGAAGTTTTATTGTATATTTCTAAATCGTTCTTCCAAATAGGTTTTCAAGGCAGCTTTTAGGGTTACAGGATTGGCAAATGAAAACCTACAGCAGAAATTACAATGTCATGGTGGTGCAGTCGGGACAAATAAATAAAAAAAACACAAACTAAATCAAAGGAAACCACTCAGATTCTTTTCAAAACACTACAATAGGTAAATTAATACTCCGAATTAACATGATAGGCTCAGGAACCGATTAGTCTTCCAGAATTTGTTGACTGAGACAGGGCCTTCCTGTTTGTCAGGACAGAGCAAAACTCTTTGACTTTTTTCTCAATTTTTTTATATTTCATACTTTGTCATAGTATTGAATATGATAAAACTATGTTAAAAGATATAATAATAGTAATACCTTTCATCTGATAAGTTGCATATATAAATAAAAATAGCACCACAAATAACAATTAAAGCTAAAACATAAATGTAAAATTTAAAAACATCTTTCATACAAGATTGTGAAGCAAAATCGTCAATCATAGCTTCAAAATCAATCTCTTCAAGCGTCTCATGCTGGACGATTAATATTAGTAATCCACTAACCTTTCTTGAACATAGTTGACCGCAAATAATAATGCATTGGCATCTCATTGCTAATTGTTTAATCTAAACTGTAAATTCAAAAAATCTAGATTATTAAGATTAATATTGCTGGCTCGCGAAACTGGTGCTTTCAATTTTACATATGTAACTACAATGGAATTTGATTTAAGTGTGCAAGTAAATAATTGGTTTTCTTTAAAAAATAATACTCCCTCCGTCCAGTGGCGGATCTAGACCTCAGGTTTTGGGTGTTCGAAACTAAATTAAAATTAAAATTATCACAATGATCATGTAATTCAACAATTGCATATTTGTCGATAAGAAAGCCTTACATTGCAAACCAAAGCATAGTATATTAATAAAGTATAATAAAAGTACTACATTAACTTATTTTTCCTAATGCTCATGTTTTTCTGAAAATAATCTAAAAGTTCTTCATTACTGCCACTTCGGTTCTCAAGTCTGCCAGGGACCAAACTTAACAAAGTGCTGAACTGCCAGACAACCAGGTCATTTAGTATGTTTTGTTTGTACTTTTTAGTATATTAATTATCAAAAAAGGGGTAAGTTTGTAACTTGAAAGAAACATATCAATATTGAATCTGACATGATCAATTTATCATTTACGGAATATCATCTTTTTTCCCAAAATGTCAAAATACAAATTACACCTACCGACATACGGAGTACAATTGTTACCAACAAACAAGTAGAAATCCAATTTAGAAATTTACCGAGTGCTTAGCTCAGTTGGCTGTCTTGGCTGAGGCGTGAGTGGCGAGTCCGCATACGCCTAGCGCCGTAGCAGAGCGGCAGCGGCAGAGGAGCGGTGGTTGCAGATTGTGTCGAGACAGTGCTGCGGTGAAGTACTGGAAGTCTCAAGCCGGGAGCGGGAGTGCGGGACTGACTTGCTGCGTGATTTGTGACTTTGTGAGAAGACCTAGCGGCACTGGTCGTTTGAAATTGGAACGAAGCAAAACAGGTTTGGGCTTCTCCGATCTGCTTCTGAATTCTGGCTTTCAACCTTCTGGGATACGACATAGCAGTAAAGGCAAATCGGCGGAGTTTTAATTTTTTAGTTAAACGCACAAAACGACGTCGTTTTTTATTTTTTTGGAAAATTCCGGGTGTTCACGTGAACACCTTTGAACAACACACGGTCCGCCCCTGCCTCCGTCCCCCTTAATTGTCCCATTTTTTCATTTTTGGATGTCCCCCTATCATTGTCTCATATCATATTGGTAACATTTGTGTGGCTCTAATTCATTCTTAGTTTATTCTCACTTTATCAACTCATTAAGTCAGTATGAACCACATAAATCTACTTTTCTTAAAAACTACCTCACTCTCTTCCGTCCCAATATTAGGGGGCGGAGGGAGTAATACAATAATGCCATCTATGTTGCACGGAAGTGTAGGAGGCGTGCTGAAATGTGAAACAGGAAACACCATCTTAAGGGGCGGAGCCATAACCAACATTCAGGGTGGACCGGAGGTAAACTAAAAAAACGCTATGTCAAAATTTAAACTAGTATATAGTTCGAATAAAATGATTAAAATTCATTAAAATTTAGGGAGAAATGACTATATAGCTTAAACAAATAGGTTACTTTTAGTTAATAACCTCTATTATTTGTATTAAAGAATATATCACTTTAGCAATTAATATAAAAATACGGTTGAGTCAAATACAAGACTCGATCGTATTTGATAATTAAAACTGTATTTAGATAAAATCAAATCCATGGATTTCGGTGTTGATATCCGATATTCATATAACTCATAAGCTTCTAGGATAATTTAAAGGGCTATGCACTTAATTTTTGTAAATATATAACATAAACTTAAATGTATGTATTAAAAAACGTATATACACCCAATTATCTCTAAAATTTATATTGTAGTAGGTTTAAAAAACGAATGCAATGATTTTTCATTTTTTAAGAGCGGCTGAAATATTTGGAATTTCAAAGAAGTTTTTATTTAACTCTTGTCTGTTTTGTGTACTTGCGGGCTTCAAAACGAAGCAATATTATTTTTGCCTTTTTTGAAGTACATTGGGTAGTCATACCTGCTTAAATTGATAAAAATTAATAAAATAATCAGTATAAAGAGTACTATTTTCAATCACATACGTAGTATGTTTTATTAATATGTTAAGAAATTGACCATCCTAATTCTCAATTTCACAAATGAAATTAGAATACGGAGTATGACAAATGATTCACCAATCGTAAAACATATTGACATGGTTAAATTCACATTAGCGAAACACTTAAAAACTAAAACAATTAAGCACTCAAACAGAACATTTAAAAATCGATAGCAATTTTTAAGATATTAGCTATGTACGTAATTCAAAATAAAAAATAAAGAATACCGGCCACTTAACTAACCTACTAGGCCGCTGGGGTTGTTGAGCCGATGAGCTGAACTGCAGATGGCAGCCAAAACTCCGAGAAGCTGAGAAGTGAGAAGAACTACCAGGCCGCAAAGCGGGTGGGGCGCGGGGCTGGGTACGTGACTGGGTGAGGCAGAAATTGGGAGAAAGGGAAGATTTTTCTTTGATTTGGTCTGCCCAATGGGCTGGCACTGGCCCAGATTATTTTTCCATTGGGCCAGATGATACTTTTGTTATTCTTTTAAGTGGAAATTACCCGTTTGGGCCAGTTTTAGGTACCACATATCATTTAGGGAATTTTTCATAAATAGACTAAAAATTGAAAGTAATATCACTTTTGTCACCCTTAAAAATTTCTTTCAATAATAGTTTACTTCAAAGTCTCTTTTCAAAAATAGACCAGTCCACTCCTCCGCGTATGTAGCTCACCGACTTAAATTTATTCTCCTAGCACAGTTACACGTGCACCCATCCACGTAACGTTTCAATCAGTGCTCCACTTTTCACAAAGCATTACTCTTCGTATGAAATTACAAAGAATATGTAGGCACTCAACTTTGATAATGCATAGAAATCAATAAATTTTAAAAAAGGAAATTGATTTTAAAAAAACATTTAAAACTCGAAATAAAAAAATAAAATTCAGATGTGAAATTAGAAAATTATAAATTAAATTTACAAATTAAAGAAAATGAATTTAAATTTTATAAAAAAGTTTGAAAAAAACACCTAGAAATCATAAAATAATAAAACTTGAGAAATAATTTTCAATGTAGTCTTTTTAAATAGATAATATCATTTATTTTATAAAATAAAAAAAATAAATAGTTTTATAAAAAAGTTTAAAATAGTTAAAAATTCGATAACTTTAAAATTATAAAAAATACATAAAATAAGAAATCAAATAATATTAAAGAATCTTTTATGAAAGAGATTCTTTAATATTTAATAACCTTTTCAAAATATTTAATAATATGAAAAATAATCGGAATCTTTTATGAAAAAGTAATTATTTTAAAAAATTGGAAAATACACATATTAAAGAAAATAAAAAATCAAATAAATATGAAAATTTTAAATGTTTGAAAAAGTTAAATTAAATTTATATTACTGTGGAAAAAATAAAAATGCATTACATAAAATTATGAAAAACCGGAAAATTAAAGCAACCTTAAAAGACTTTAAAATTTAAATAATCGAGAGAATAAAAATATGAAAAATTAAAATAATGAGCTTGGAAAATATTAAAAATTGAAATATAAAAATACGAATTTTATAATGTAAACTTTTTAAAGCACTTGAACTATTTCATTATTATTTTATTATTTTTTTTGTTGCCTATTGTTTCTCTGTGTTTCTATTTGTTTATAATTATGAAATTTTTGTTTTTTATTGTTTCTTTATGTTTCAAATTGCTATTTATTTTCATAAATGATAAATCTGATTTATCATTCTAGGTGTTTGGTTGTAAATCTATATAGCCCGTAGACGTATTGAAGGTGATATAAAACAAAGATCTAAAAACAGTTATTAGTAACACAATACACCAATAAGCAACACGATGCAACAAAAATCAACATGTTGAAACAAAAAGAAACATGATGCAACAAAAAGTAATACACATGATACAACAAAAAGAAACATGATACAACAAAAAGTAATACACATGATACAACAATAAGAAACAAAAAAATACAGTGTCACAATAAGTATATAATTCAACTTGTTAACTAAATTTATTACATGTATCTACGTTGTATCAGTGTATTGTGTTATATTTGATTTTGCTTCTTCACATTTTTCTTCCACTTATGGATTTCAACACACAATCCCTTGTTTTTTTCTTTGTCTTCATTCACTCGTTGATCTCGAAAACTGTCACAACCACAAGTGTATCATATTGAAAACTGTATATAACAAAACATTAGATCAATACAGTAAAACGAGGAATAAAACTGACATTCAAGACATTGAGAACCATGTTATACCCATAGTTAAGTCCGGATGTGAGTGCATTAACTATGGCAAAAGGAAGATATAACAAAGACTGCAACACAAATACATATCAAGTGATAGGTTCGAGTTTAAATAATTTGATGATGATTCCTAGCAGAGAAATGCTACCACTTCATGTAGGCACACATTCTTCATAGTTAGCCCCATAAACATCAACTACCTATCTCCACATTTATAGTTTGCAAAGGGAGGAAGATTTAGGAGATAGGCAGTGGAAATTTATCCTGAATCTGTTCACATAAATTGCACAAGGTTGGAGGAAAAAGCACTATGGACCCTCTGCCATCCATTGCCGTAGAGCGGTTTCATGAGTGGGGGATTCTTTTCATTCAACGTTGAATGCTTTTTCTATATCAAAATGGAAATCGCTTGCTAAAGTTTTCAGTTGTTGTTCTTTAACTTGCAACCATCATTGGCATATATAAAATACAGGGGACATCTTAGAAAATTGTCTGGTGTAAAAAATTTAAATAAATAAGGTTGTAAATAAGAGCAACACCACTAAATAAAAATGCATCAAAAGGTGTCAGAATTAGAGTGCAATGTCCTCACACTACTTAGAGGTATATTTTCCATGAGATATTGTGGAGCGATACACACATCTTATCTCAATCTCAATACAAGACACAAAATAAAACTAAACCTATTCTGGATTACTTAATATTCTAAAAACAAAATTTGTGAGCATATTAAAAACAAACCCTTTCTTTACTAGGCATTATACTGTACCATTGCAATTACAAACAAAAAAGAAAAAAAGATGGGAGATACATTTATTGGCCAAACCAAAACACTTGATGAATGACTGGATTGTTGATGTTGTGTTATGCTATTATTGTACTCATTATAACTATACGGATAGTGCTATCCTAGAGCCAGCATTAGTAGACAACTAAACAGTTAGATGAGTCTCAACTCTAGAACAATGAAGTACAAAACACATTTGACATTCAAACTAATATCAACTACAACCTGTTTCTAATAAAAGCTTGCATAGTACGTAGTATAATAAATTAAGTAGTGGTGAGGATTCATTTCATAATCAAACTGTGCCAAGAGAGAGTTTTTGTTTTTGAATAAAATGAAGATAAATAAAGTAAACACCCATGTCACTTACTTGAATTATGATGACACCTTCCTTGACAACCTTTTCCATAGCCTTTGCAATGAACTCACCATCGTTCACCATTTGCAGAGATTATCCCAACCTATAAACATATGAGATGGAGTAACTAGTATCATTTCTGAAATCTTAAACAGGTGAATGAAATGAGAATAAAGACAATGGGGGGAAAAGAAATACAAAGTGTGATTGTATACAGAGAAATTCAAATCCACAAATGCCAAGGGAGTGCAACTATATGTTTATATGTTTCAAACGAACACTTATAAAACTTTAAAAGCAAAACACTCAAAAATGGTCATATATCCGGGCAATTTCCTCAGATGTGCTAATCATTCTTCTTTTGCCCTTCAAGTTTGTTACAACGGCATCAACAACCATGGCGATTCCACATCTGAGGTCCATTGCATTCATACCTGCAACAACTGACTTGCAGCCTTCAATAGATATGTAGATATTAAGTGACTTAAAACAAAAATTATTAAATAAATGATATAGATAAAAAAACGGCATCAAGTGATTAATGCAAGAGAGGTCGTGAACTAAACCGAAGTACGGAACTCAGACTTTGAGACTTTTCATTCGGTGGAAAAATCCTAACAATTAGACCTGACTTTTCAAGTGAGGCTAATGCGAAGAAGGTTAATTCTATTCTTCATCGCAAAGGCTCTCGCTGGACGCCAGAAGAAGATTGACTCTCTAACCTACAACGGAAACACATGGAGGCATCCGCTCTTTGTTCTCGGTTTGTTGCCATCAGATCGATCTCTTGGCTCCTTTGACGATTAGATCAACTAACACCGATCTCCAGGCCTCCGTCGAGCTCTCGTAAAATATTTCCCGGCAACGAGAAACTCTAATCCATTCCGTCTGACCGCCTCTCATGTATTCCTCGACATATATCTAACTGCGTAGGAGGTCGGCTAAACTGATCCAAAAGTGAAATAAAAAAAACAAAATTGAAAATTGAAAAGTTTAAAAGTGAAAAGAGAAAATAGTTAAGACATAAATGATATGTGGTACCTAAAACTGGCCCAAACGGGTAATTTCCACTTAAAAGAATAACAAAAGTATCATCTGGCCCAATGGAAAAATAATCTGGGCCAGTGCCAGCCCATTGGGCAGACCAAATCAAAGAAAAATCTTCCCTTTCTCCCAATTTCTGCCTCACCCAGTCACGTACCCCGCCCCAGCCCCGCGCCCCACCCGCTTTGCGGCCTGGTAGTTCTTCTCACTTCTCAGCTTCTCGGAGTTTTGGCTGCCATCTGCAGTTCAGCTCATCGGCTCAACAACCCCAGCGGCCTAGTAGGTTAGTTAAGTGGCCGGTATTCTTTATTTTTTATTTTGAATTACGTACATAGCTAATATCTTAAAAATTGCTATCTTGATTTTTAAATGTTCTGTTTGAGTGCTTAATTGTTTTAGTTTTTAAGTGTTTCGCTAATGTGAATTTAACCATGTCAATATGTTTTACGATTGGTGAATCATTTGTCATACTCCGTATTCTAATTTCATTTGTGAAATTGAGAATTAGGATGGTCAATTTCTTAACATATTAATAAAACATACTACGTATGTGATTGAAAATAGTACTCTTTATACTGATTATTTTATTAATTTTTATCAATTTAAGCAGGTATGACTACCCAATGTACTTCAAAAAAGGCAAAAATAATATTGCTTCGTTTTGAAGCCCGCAAGTACACAAAACAGACAAGAGTTAAATAAAAACTTCTTTGAAATTCCAAATATTTCAGCCGCTCTTAAAAAATGAAAAATCATTGCATTCGTTTTTTAAACCTACTACAATATAAATTTTAGAGATAATTGGGTGTATATACGTTTTTTAATACATACATTTAAGTTTATGTTATATATTTACAAAAATTAAGTGCATAGCCCTTTAAATTATCCTAGAAGCTTATGAGTTATATGAATATCGGATATCAACACCGAAATCCATGGATTTGATTTTATCTAAATACAGTTTTAATTATCAAATACGATCGAGTCTTGTATTTGACTCAACCGTTTTTTTTTTTTTTTTTTTTTTTTTATCCCGGAAGGCAAACCACCAAAATCAGTGGGGCAAGTGCCGGGAGTCAAATGCCATTATTTTATTAAAAAGGAAGAGTACAAATGATATTTGGGGGGACTTGACCTGACCCAAAACGAAATAAATGCATTAATACCGAATACAAGGAAAATTAAACAGATCAGCATAATAATTCCTTTTTACCTCCTTGGGCAACTGTCTAATTCGATCAAACAGAACTATTTGGGCCGGTGAAATATTTAAATCTGCTAAAGCATGGGCCACACCATTACCTTCCCTGAAAATCAGCCCAAAACTTATCCCTTTCCTGAATGCCTTCTCCCTGAAATTACAAACATCAGCTCGCTTGCCAATTTCATCTCTGAGGAAATCCAACGACCTCGAGGCATCGGTCTCAACCTGTACATCCGTGAAGCCCTCCTCTATCACCATTTCAGTAGCTCTTATCAAAGCTTTGATCTCAGCATCTTCACTGGAGTCAGCAATAAGTAGAAACGAAGCAGCCCAGACCATTTCTCCCAGCCGGTTTCTCAGAATCGCACCAGCAACCGCTTTCTCAGGTATAAACGAAGCATCCACGTTTAATTTGTAGCTTCGATTTGGCCTCTTCCATCTGATTAACTGTATTCCTGGACTAAGGAATTTAAAGTTGTGCGGAAGAAGGCCTTCGTTCATAAGGAAACTATCCAACTTCCTGCGTTTGATTTTTGCCAATCTGTAGCCCCAATTTTGTGTATACATTTTGATTTGGATAAGAAGATTCTCTGGCTTAGGAATAGTCTTTGAACCCCATATGAAAGAAGTATAAGTCTTCCACAAATGCCAGCAAATAATACCCGGCAAGTTATGTTTAAAAATGTCTGCCACCGATTTTGAGCCTGCCTCAAGCCACCAATGTACCAACATCTGTCTGATAGATGAGTAATTAGGTACAGTAATGGCAAAGATATCCAAGAAATGCTGCCAAATTATCTTAGAGTAAGTACACCCCAGAAAAATGTGGTCAGTAGTTTCACTATGGTTTTTGCAGAAAGGACACCTTGATGGTTGTAGAAGAAAATGAAATCTCTGTACATTATCAGGTATAGGTAGAAAAAGGTTCAGCATCTTCCACGTAAACACCTTAATTTGCATATGCTGATATTTATTCCATATGTGTTTATCAGTGAAAGTTACTGACCTAAATCCCCTTATTTCATTATATGCAGAGGCTAAAGAAAAGGAACCACCAATCCCTGGGTCCCACTGCAACCTACCATCAGAGCCGATTGAACATAGGTCAAAAGCAGTTTCATGAATGCTGCATAGTCTCCTCCATACAGGAGAATCAGTAGTTTTAGGGGTCATGTCCCCCCCTCTTGGGTATCTAGCATTAATAAATTGAGTCCATAATGACTCTTTGGTCTTCCACTTCCACCAAAGCTTCAAACTGAAAGCTTTTTGAACATCAGCTAATGCTCTAACCCCCAGACCCCCTTCATCAGTAGGGAAACAGACTTTAGACCACTTTCTCCAATGAAATCTTTTCATGTCAACAGAAGAACCCCAAAAGAAATAAGCAATCTTCTTTTCCAGAGTTGTAATAACTCTATTAGGAAGCAAGTCAGAGGCAAATAAGTGGTTAGGGATTGTACTCAACACGTGTTTAATCAAAACCAATCTGCCTCCTTGAGAGAGATGCTTTTGCTTCCAAGAAGTAAGCTTATTATCAAAACTTTGAATAATATTAGTGCAATACTGATATCTATTCACCCCTTTATGCAGGTTGACTCCCAGATACTTCATAGGCAGACTGGACTTGGTCATTCCCAGAATTTTATGAATAGTGGACCCTCTGTAAGTAGCATGCTTTCCAGTAATAAAACAACTTTTATTCAAATTAACTGTTTGCCCAGATGCAGCTTGGTATTCATCTACAAACTTTTTAAAATTCACCAGAGACCTAGCTCCCCCATTAATAAAAACAAGTAAATCATCTGCAAATCCAAGATGACTAATAGGATATCCCGTCCTCCCCACCCAGAAGGGCTTTATATCTCCCTGCTGCATTTTAAGTTTCAAACTTCTGGAGAACCCTTCAGATGCAATAATAAAAAGAAAGGGGGATAATGGGTCACCCTGTTTGACTCCTCTCTTAGGTTGAAAATACCCATAGGGACTTCCATTTATGAGAATAGAAAGATATGTGGCCTGTAGATTATTCCTAACCAGAGAAATGAACTTATTTGAGAATCCAAACCTGGCAAGCACTTCAAAAAGATAATTCCAGGAGAGCTTGTCAAAAGCTTTGGCCATATCTAGTTTGATAATAACATTAGAACCCCTCACCTTTTTATCAATAGCATGGACCATCTCTTGTGCCAGTAGAATTTGGTCAGAAATATCCCTGCCTTGCACAAAGCCTGCCTGTTCCTCTGAAATAATTTTAGGGAGAATCTTTACTAATCTTGTGGCCAGCACTTTAGTGCAAATCTTATTAGTAAAATTAGAGAGACAAATTGGTCTGTAGTCTGTAAAGGAAGAAACCATCTCTGACTTGGGTATAAGAACAATTGAAGAGCTAGTAAAGCCTCTGGGAGGTGGGATGCCAAGAAAAAATTCTTGAACAGCATTGACTACATCAACACCCACAATGGCCCAACACTTCTTAAAAAATTTTCCTGTGTACCCATCCGGGCCTGGAGCCCCATTCTGATTCAAGTCCCAAATAGCCGCTTTTACCTCGTCTTCACTTGGCATAGCTATGAGTAGATCATTGTCTTCTTGATTAATAATTTCTGGAATGCTATTTAATATCTCATTGTTTGTTGTGACAGGTTCTACTGCATAAAGCTTAGAAAAGAAATCAACAGCTGCAGCCCCAATCCCAGGTAAACTGGATATCTCATTCCCTTCTGCATCCTTTATCGAGTGTATCATCTGTCTCCTTCTCCTTATTTTCACAAAGGAATGAAAGTAATGAGAGTTACAATCCCCTTCTTTGAGCCACTTGATGTGTGATTTCTGTTTCCAGAACTTTCTTTCCAGTTTATACTTTTTCAGTAAAAGAGCTTTTTTAAACTGCCAATCCTCCCTATTTTCCTCAGTGGAAGACTTCAAATAATCTTCTTCTGCCTTGGTAACTTCTTGCTCCATATAGCTAATGTCATCAAAGATATTCCCAAATACCTCCTTATTCCATCTTCTTAAATCTTTTTTAAGCCTCTGAAGCTTGATAACCAGCCCCTGCATTCCTCCTCCAGTGTAACTTTCATTCCAACTTTTCTCTACAGTAGCTAAGAAAGAGTTGTGTGACACCCACATATTCTGGAACTTAAACTGTTTAGGCCCATTCTGAGTTATGTTTTTGCATTGAATTAACATGGGAGAGTGATCAGATGGGGCCTGATGCAAATTAGTAACATTAATTTGATCAAAAGAATCAAGAAAGGCTTCATTAAAAAGACACCTGTCTAACCTCCTCCATAACCTTCCTTTTGATCTGACTCCTGTCCAGGTATATTGACATCCAGCATAAGGAATGTCAATAAGATTACATTGAGAGACACAATCCTTGAATTCTAGCATACTATTCAAGTCAGGTATTGATTCTCCTTTATGTTCTGAATGGGCCATAATTGTATTGAAATCTCCCCCCACCATCCAGGGAACTTGAATATGGTTTGACATCAGGGATAGCTGACACCACAGATCTCTCCTCTCAACCACCGTATGTTTGGCATAGACCGCAGTAATCCAGCCAACTTTGTTCTCATAGCTAATTTTGAAATGTGCAAACTGAGGATCCCAAGTAATGTCTGAAATGCTGACTGAATTGGAATTCCAAAAAATCCAAACTTTATTCATACTGTTAAAGAGAACATTAGTGAATCCTAACTCGAACTTAAAAGAATCAGCCTTCTCAGAATCTACTAACGGTTCAATAACGATAAGAAAAATAATCCTCCATTTAGATATTAAATGAGATAATCTTGGCCCGGAGGAAGCCAAGCCTCTCACATTCCAAATGAGACCATTCATGGAGAGGGGTGATGATTATTTTGTGATTGCCTTTTGGCAGCATTTCTTGTTACCATTCCATGATGTGCTTGATGAACTTTATTTTTCTTTTTCCTTCTCCTTCCTACTATAGTGAAGCCTTCCACTGTATCTAGACTTTCCTGGGTGGCCGTATAAGCCTGATCTAGCGATGCTAGAAGCACTGAGTCTTCTTTACTTGTTCTGGTTGCTTGTAAGAATTTAACTTTATTGATTATCCCAGGTAAAGCATCAATCCAGTCTTGCTTAGATTCACACCTGTGAGGTGGCTCTGAATCAGAACCATATTCCTTTGCTGCTAGATCCTGGTCAAAGTCCTTTGAACTTTCCATAGGCTGAATAGAGAAGTCGTCTTTAATGTGTATTTTGGATTCGGTAATAGATAAACCAGGAATATCCCCTTGAATAATGTGTTGTAAACTGCACTTCTCCTGACTGATATCTTTGTGCTTGTCGTGTGTAGGTGGCTCCTCATGAAACACCTCCTCGGTATCAGTTTCAGCATCATCTTGAATTGAGATGTGTTCAACTGGAGCAAGAATTTCATGTAGTTTGGAGGTAGATGGCTCATCCTGACCTACCGGGAGATTCTCCTTAGAGGGCTGGAAAACCACAATCGCCTTTCCTTTGTCATTATTATGCTGCTTATGTCCAGCATCTTCAGTTCCCTTCCCTTTAGTTCCGTTTGTAATAAGCTTAACATTCTGAGATTTAGCAACCCAACGATCCCCTACAGTATTGCTCTCTTTCATAAGAATTTTAGATCCTTCAGCCTGCAAATTCTTAGGACATCTACTGGCTTGATGCCCTAAATGAAGACATGTTAAGCAATATTGAGGTCTATTTTCATAGTAGACTGATTGCATGAAACCAGTCTTCCCAGTTTGGATCCAAACCTTTGATGGCATCTCCGAAGTGAGATCCAACTCCACACAAATGCGTGCCACTGATGGCCTAGCCAGTGTGGCCGTGGCTGTGTCAAGCTTTAGAGGCTTCCCTATTAGGCTAGCAATAACGAACAAGGCTCTCTTGTCATGAAGGTGTATAGGCAAACCTTCAAACGCCAACCAAACTGGAACAATGGGTGACTCCACATTAGGTTTAAAATCAGGTGACCATTTGGTCACCCTCATAGTACTCCCATGAATATCCCATGTTTGACGATTCCAACATCTAATGTAATCTTCTTCTAATTCAAATCGAATCAACACATGCTTCTTCTCAATCAAGCCCAACTGGAAATTTCCTTTAAATCCAATGAATTCAAAGGACTTACGTAAGGTATTCATGGGAGGACGCCCTTTATAGAAATATCCCACCAAATCACGTTTGTGCTTCTCCGCAAGAACGTTGACATCTTCCTCTCCAAAATTGGCTGCCGGTACACCTTTAAACCGAGAGGTAGATGTGGACTTCAAAGCCACATCGTCTTTGCCCAACAGAACCGAAACAAAAGATCTCTTTCCACCTTCCCAAACATTGCTGATCGGTGGTGGCTGTTCAGGTGACGGCACCGCCGTCCTGGAATTAGGGTTCATTCTTTGCTCAGCTGCAGGATCGCTTTTGTGTGTTGTATTTGACTCAACCGTATTTTTATATTAATTGCTAAAGTGATATATTCTTTAATAAAAATAATAGAGGTTATTAACTAAAAGTAACCTATTTGTTTAAGCTATATAGTCATTTCTCCCTAAATTTTAATGAATTTTAATCATTTTATTCGAACTATATACTAGTTTAAATTTTGACATAGCGTTTTTTTAGTTTACCTCCGGTCCACCCTGAATGTTGGTTATGGCTCCGCCCCTTAAGATGGTGTTTCCTGTTTCACATTTCAGCACGCCTCCTACACTTCCGTGCAACATAGATGGCATTATTGTATTACTCCCTCCGCCCCCTAATATTGGGACGGAAGAGAGTGAGGTAGTTTTTAAGAAAAGTAGATTTATGTGGTTCATACTGACTTAATGAGTTGATAAAGTGAGAATAAACTAAGAATGAATTAGAGCCACACAAATGTTACCAATATGATATGAGACAATGATAGGGGGACATCCAAAAATGAAAAAATGGGACAATTAAGGGGGACGGAGGCAGGGGCGGACCGTGTGTTGTTCAAAGGTGTTCACGTGAACACCCGGAATTTTCCAAAAAAATTAAAAACGACGTCGTTTTGTGCGTTTAACTAAAAAATTAAAACTCCGCCGATTTGCCTTTACTGCTATGTCGTATCCCAGAAGGTTGAAAGCCAGAATTCAGAAGCAGATCGGAGAAGCCCAAACCTGTTTTGCTTCGTTCCAATTTCAAACGACCAGTGCCGCTAGGTCTTCTCACAAAGTCACAAATCACGCAGCAAGTCAGTCCCGCACTCCCGCTCCCGGCTTGAGACTTCCAGTACTTCACCGCAGCACTGTCTCGACACAATCTGCAACCACCGCTCCTCTGCCGCTGCCGCTCTGCTACGGCGCTAGGCGCATGCGGACTCGCCACTCACGCCTCAGCCAAGACAGCCAACTGAGCTAAGCACTCGGTAAATTTCTAAATTGGATTTCTACTTGTTTGTTGGTAACAATTGTACTCCGTATGTCGGTAGGTGTAATTTGTATTTTGACATTTTGGGAAAAAAGATGATATTCCGTAAATGATAAATTGATCATGTCAGATTCAATATTGATATGTTTCTTTCAAGTTACAAACTTACCCCTTTTTTGATAATTAATATACTAAAAAGTACAAACAAAACATACTAAATGACCTGGTTGTCTGGCAGTTCAGCACTTTGTTAAGTTTGGTCCCTGGCAGACTTGAGAACCGAAGTGGCAGTAATGAAGAACTTTTAGATTATTTTCAGAAAAACATGAGCATTAGGAAAAATAAGTTAATGTAGTACTTTTATTATACTTTATTAATATACTATGCTTTGGTTTGCAATGTAAGGCTTTCTTATCGACAAATATGCAATTGTTGAATTACATGATCATTGTGATAATTTTAATTTTAATTTAGTTTCGAACACCCAAAACCTGAGGTCTAGATCCGCCACTGGACGGAGGGAGTATTATTTTTTAAAGAAAACCAATTATTTACTTGCACACTTAAATCAAATTCCATTGTAGTTACATATGTAAAATTGAAAGCACCAGTTTCGCGAGCCAGCAATATTAATCTTAATAATCTAGATTTTTTGAATTTACAGTTTAGATTAAACAATTAGCAATGAGATGCCAATGCATTATTATTTGCGGTCAACTATGTTCAAGAAAGGTTAGTGGATTACTAATATTAATCGTCCAGCATGAGACGCTTGAAGAGATTGATTTTGAAGCTATGATTGACGATTTTGCTTCACAATCTTGTATGAAAGATGTTTTTAAATTTTACATTTATGTTTTAGCTTTAATTGTTATTTGTGGTGCTATTTTTATTTATATATGCAACTTATCAGAAGAAAGGTATTACTATTATTATATCTTTTAACATAGTTTTATCATATTCAATACTATGACAAAGTATGAAATATAAAAAAATTGAGAAAAAAGTCAAAGAGTTTTGCTCTGTCCTGACAAACAGGAAGGCCCTGTCTCAGTCAACAAATTCTGGAAGACTAATCGGTTCCTGAGCCTATCATGTTAATTCGGAGTATTAATTTACCTATTGTAGTGTTTTGAAAATAATCTGAGTGGTTTCCTTTGATTTAGTTTGTGTTTTTTTTATTTATTTGTCCCGACTGCACCACCATGACATTGTAATTTCTGCTGTAGGTTTTCATTTGCCAATCCTGTAACCCTAAAAGCTGCCTTGAAAACCTATTTGGAAGAACGATTTAGAAACATACAATAAAACTTCTAATGGAAAGCAGCAATGGAAGTACAACTGGAGGTAGAGAGTGGATGGCTGAGGATGCCATTGCTGGAAATGCAGAGGCGGTCCGTGCTCTTCGGGAACTCATTATGTATCCACTCCTGTATTCTCAAGAGTCTCAAAAGCTTGGCCTCAAAGTAATTTGGATACGAATGTTTTTGTATAGTTCCCCTCACTAATAATATTGATAGACTTGTTTATTTGTGGGTATCTTTCATTGTCTTCTTATAGTGGCCTCGTGGCTTGTTGCTCTATGGTCCACCTGGTACTGGAAAGGTAGATACACATTTATTCTCTTGGCTATCTATCTCTTAGCTTGATCACCATTTGCATTGTGAGAAAAAGGGATCTATTTCTCAAATATTGTTCCAATAATGTATTACTGGATTTGCAGACAAGTTTGGTTAGAGCAGTTGTTCAAGAATGTGGAGCACATTTGACTGTTATTAGGTACTACATATTGTAATGTTTTATGTGTGTCATGTTTGTTTTTTTAGATCTATACATATAGAGCTATCCCCTAGCAAGCTTTATTTTCTATTTTTAAGCAGATGAGAGACTAAGTACTCATTCCTCCCCAGAATAGAGTCGTGTAATTCGTGTTTAAAATAATGATCCTAGTATTACAATGGTGACTTTTTTCGGGACTAAGGTAGTGTTATGTGCACATTTTAGTGATAGAATCATAGAAATAAAATGTACATTTTGGAGTTAATGAAATGTTTCATTGCTTATCATGATGTTAAAGTGGAGATATTTATGCTAAAACGTTACATAGCTTATGAAGAAACTTGACACACATTAGTTGCTTTGGGAGATATCAAGAAAATATTTGTGGGTCATATGTGAATGCCTTATCTCTTTTCCCATATGAGAAGCTGTGATAAATATATGGGCATGAATCCCAAATGTCATTAATTTTGTGGTGCATCTGTAGCCCACACAGTGTCCATAGAGCACATACTGGAGAAAGCGAGAGAGTTTTGCGGGAAGCATTTGCAAAAGCATCGTCTCATGCAAACCTTGGGAAGCCATCTGTTATCTTCATAGACGAAATTGATGTACTATGCCCTCGTCGTGATTCTAGGTAATCATTCCAGTTAATACACTTTTCCAGGGCCATGAGTTTTAACTTTATCTCAAACTTGTATCACTTAATGCTTTCTTAATGTATTATTGCCCATCGTTTGAAATTGCACAATGAGGTTACACAATAGGTAATGCTAAGAAACCGCCTCAAGCTTGCAAAACGCAATTTCAAACATTGTCATTGCCTGAGTAGTATGGAAATCGGAAATATGGTTTCTAAAAAAATACATGACACAAAATATGGGAAAAACACACTAATTTTAAAAAACATGAGGACATATGTATAAATATTTTTATATATGTATACATGTTTTTTCGTTTATATATATGCACATTATTTCAGATAATTTTGTTTGATAACCATTAGTAACTAAAGACTATGTATTCAAGTTTATAAACTATTACCCCCTCTGTCCCGCTAATATTGTCCCATTTTACCTTTTCGGGAAATCCCACTTAAATTGTCCCATACCAAATTTGGTGAAGTTTGTGTGACTCTAAATCATTCTTACTTTATTCTTTTGCTAGGAAGAAATCTTATAAAAATTCACCAGAGTTTTGGAAAGGCACTATTTTCCGTCAATGGACCCCATCAAAAGGAAAAATACTTGGAAATCCAAAATTTCCTAAACGTTATTATTTTGGGAAACAAGCTTTCCAATTTTTCTTAATTATTGAAACACCCCTCAAACTGGAATTTGAAGTTCTGGAGTTTTTGATACGCTTTCCAGTTTGCGGAGCGGGGAAGCATGAGCCATTGGAAGTTTCTGTGCTTCATAGATTATTGCACTTGCACATAATACTTTCATATTCATATTTCATTCAACATACTTGGTGAGTTTGCTATTGCAGAAGAGAACAAGATGTACGTGTAGCTTCTCAGCTCTTTATGTTGATGGACTCTAATAAGTCCGTTTCAACATCTGGATTACATGTTGTTGTAGTGGCATCAACTAATAGGTGGGTTCTACTGATGTTTCAGGGAAGTAACTTTTTGGTTTCCATTTTTTCTTGTGTTGTATTCAAATAAAGTACAAAGAGGTCATTTTGGTTATTTTTATTTACTTTTAAGTTCCATATATTAGTAAATGCGATTTACTCTTGACGGAGAAACCCTTTTTTTCCATCATTCTCTCAAGTAACCTGTAATGGCAATTTGGCAAATCAAACCCCCCGATACTATTCCAATTTAGGATATTTTTTTGACATGTGGATTGCAAAAGAAAGCATTATTATTCTATCTTTTATTATTGAAGGTCAATAGTAATTTGGTGGTGTTGCTTTCAAGGGTATCACCTATTTTGTTATTTTACAATCACTATAAATTATTGATATGGAATAAACCCGTACTCATAGAAATCCAACCTTTATATGTTTATATTATTTTAACTACAAAGATGTTGATATGCCATGAACCCATACCCAAAGAAATACAACTTTAATATGTTTTATTCATGGCAGGCAGGGAGGGTGGGATTACTTAAGTTTTTCTCTCTATGGTGAGGGATAAATAGTCGCTTTTTGAATCGAACAAACTGTTGATTTTTACAACCATACTGTAGTGTCTGAGCTAATAATATACACCATTTTTAATTTACAACCATACATCCGTTTTTTATTTTAATAAATCAGTAAGTTTTTTTTGTCACTGTGGTGAAGGATAAACAATCTCTTTTTGAATAAAAAAACTGTTAAGTTTTTCAACCATACTATGATATCTGAATCAAATTACGCCATATGTAATTGGTATACTGTCTTTTAAATGTTTATTTTTAATACCATATAGATTGTTGGTTGCAAGTCTTTTAAGATGAATGTTTTCTGTGATTAATGTTCAGGGTTGACACACTCGACCCGGCTCTAAGAAGATCTGGGCGTTTTGATGCTGAGATTGAAGTCACAACCCCTAATGAAGATGAACGCTTTCATATCCTCAATGTATGGTGCTCATCATGGAGTATTTATTATTATTTGACGAAATTCACAAGAATAATCCCTACTTTTATGGATTCTACAATAATAATCCGGACCAAGGTAGTCAAAGTCGTGAGGCGCACTCAAGGCGATAGGGTATTCCCAGCGCCTGAGGCGCAAGGCGCAAAAAAGCGCTCGCCTGACTCGGGTGAATCGCACTACTTAGATAAAATCACATATACTGTTCTATAATTACCAAATATGATGTATGTAACATCATATTGAACCAAATGCATAAAAAAGCTAGGATTCATCAAAATAAAGTCATGCAACAACAACAACAACATCCAAGCCTTAGTCCCAAAAGATATTGGGGTCGGCTAACATGAATCGATACATGATATCACCACCAAAAGGAAGAGTAAGAAAATAAAGATAAAAAAGATAAGCTATTATGGAAAAGATAATATAAAAAGAGATGAATATACCCAAAAATGATAAAATAAAAAGCATAAAAATAATGTTTATATATATAAGCAAAAAAGGATAAAAAACAAACAAGAAAAAAAGAAAAAAGACAAAAAAAAAAGAAAAAAAAAAGAAAAAAAAAGAAAAAAAAGAGGGGAAAAGATAATACGATATCACTCATCCACACGAATACCCGCCTTCCACTTTGCTCAAAATAAAGTCATGATTCACAAAAATTAGGATCTTTTTTGTTAGCCAAGTAATTGCGTTTCCAAGCTGGGTCTTTTTTGTAGAGTTTTCACTTTCAGCACCACCTGCAGCACTTGTTCCACCTTCCATATCCTGGAAAAGTACAAAGCTGGAATTATTTAATAATTAATACACTGGAAAACATCTTTGGAAAACCACAAAGTAGAGTACATATATAATATATTTATGGGCCAAACACTCGAATATGGGTGCTCAATAATGGAAAAACAGAAAGCTGGTTGTGTGTTTATCATGTTCTTTTAGTTTTTCATCTGTGTTTGTCATCTTGTGTGTTGTAAAAGGTGGTTATCAACTTTGAAAAACATGTTATACTCAGCCCTATGTTAACAGCCATGTTTTACTCTAGTTGGGTCAAACAGAGTAATATCTTTAATATTTATAAAACACAAGAGTGACAGAATTGAGTAATGCATTTAAAGTTAAGAACTTAATATACTCTGAAAGATTAGAGTAATATCTTTACAAAACCACAAAGCAGAGCACATATGAGTATTATATACATACTAATATACTAATACGTAGTATTATTACTTTATTACACATTTACGCTAATATTTAGACACTGGTGTAATATGAGTATTTGGATAAAGAGGACTGTATGAAAAAGAAAACATACCTTGTTTAGTGCTGAGAGGGAGAGCTGAGTTTGCTTGAGATGATGATGAAAGCTTAAAGAACTGGCTGGTGTAGAGCAGCTTCAAGTGAGGAGAGTGAGGATGGCTAGCGATGATTGCAGTAGTGTCTTGCGCAAGTTTTACGTGTTTACTTACATAGACTCTTGGTTTTACGTCGGTTATACTGTTTTTACCCAAATATTTTCATGGGCTTAGTGTTATTAAAGATATGGGCTAATTGTATTTGAAAGTTTAAAACAAAAAAAGGCTGTCAGCCCTTTTCCAGCTCAGGCGACCCAGGCGTGCGACTTGCAGCGCTTGATGCGCTTCATGCGCCTTACCCAGGTACGTGCGCTTCACCTATTTCCAAGCGCTGGGGGGTATGCTCGCTGCGCCTTGTGCGCTTAAGCGCTGAGGCGAGCGCTTTTGACAACCTTGATCCCGACTAAGAGTGTCCATACAAATAATTGTACTAGCAATAGTGTCGACAAGAATAAATTGGAATGAATTCAAACTAATGTCTATTTAATACTCAGTCCCTACATTTATTTCCCCATTCTCCACTCTCCGTCTCGGTTAACACTTTTATGTTCCAACCTAGGGAGAACCACATATGGCGGGAATGGTGTTGATATCAAACATGTTTAGTTTGAATTATCCCCGAGAAGAAGAGCGGGGAAGAGAAAAGTGGGAGTAAAGGTTGAAAGTATTAAACTAGCATTAATTTGAATTCACCCCAATTTATTCTTATGAATACCATAGCTAGTTCGGATTATTTTTGTGGACACTTTGAGTAGGGATTATTATTATAGAATCCATAAACGTATGGATTATTCTTATGAACTTCACCTTATTATTTAGGAGGCACCTGCTTTTTATTTTGTCAAAATTCCGAGAAAATATATTAATACAAGAAACATACAAAGGTCAAAGAAAAGATACAACAACACAGTCTTGTAAAGAAAACAAAAAATGAAGAGGACAGAAGCTATAAATTTCACGAGAATACATATAATATGTGTCCAGCTTGTGATTAATACTCGACAAAAAGGATCGATGGGTATAGAGCAAAATATATCTTGTAGGACTTATTGAAACTGGGCTGTCAAGTCTAATAAATCCTCAACAACAATAACAATTTTTTATGTTAAAGTTTTATGGAGATTTTGTTGAGTGATGGTGTATTTTATGTTGACACATTGCAGCTTTACACTAAGAAGCTTCCATTGGACCCCAGTGTTGACCTGTAGTCAATCGCTGCCTCTTGTAATGGCTATGTTGGGGCAGATTTAGAAGCTTTATGCCGCGAAGCTACTACGTCTGCTGTCAGACGATCTTCAGAATTAGATCAAGTAGATTGCTCTTGGAACATAACAGTGGATGACTGGAGGCATGCCAAATCTATTGTTGGTCCTAGTATAACAAGAGGTGTAGTTGTGGAAATTCCAAAGGTTTCTTGGGAGGATATTGGAGGACTACAAGGCATAAAGGTTTGTACCTGTTAGCTTACTCGGACCCTGTTTGTTAAAGTTGATAGGCTTATTCTGTATATTCTCCTTTCAGCGGAATAGTCAGAATAAGTAGCCTTTGACATACGTATTTGGCTGAAATCGATTTCTATGCGCCTTTCCTTTTAGAAAGTTCAGCATATATGGTCTAACAACCCTCACCAAACACTCTCTCGGGCTAAATATCTTTATATATAACTTTTTTATTTGATAAATGGAACAGAAAAAGCTACAGCAAGCTGTAGAGTGGCCGTTAAGGCATTCTGAAGCATTTGCGCGGTTGGGAGTATCACCTCTTCATGGCATCCTTCTTCATGGACCTCCAGGGTGCTCTAAAACCACCCTTGCAATATTAAGGAAAGTTGCACATTAGTTTAGATACAATGTATCCTTGGTTAAAGTTGCATTCGCACCCATAAATATTAGGTTATATACGGGCATTCTCAGCATTCAGTACTGCTGTGAATGCTGCTCATAAACCTTGATTCTAATCCACAAGTTTATCTCATTGATAACAATGGAAAGACTAAATGTACAAAGTGCTGTTTTAGGCTGCGGCCACTCTTTTTCAGCGTATCATCCTTGTAGGCAATTTTTTTCTAAACATTAATTTATTTGATTCCGCACATTTTGGTGAGCTAGGGTTTCATGTAATTTTCGGCTGGGTTTGGTGAAGTTCAAGTTGGGTGCTTTTTTTTTTACGGAGTCCATTATTCTTTCATATTGCCAATAAAATATGTTCAAAGTATTGCTTCCCCATATTTCAGTAACTTCATCAATATATCAGCCGCAACTTAGTTACTTCAACCAAATCCACCCTTACCAGATGAGCTAAAAATCCAAATAGCATATCCCAGATTAGATGATGTCAAACAATCTAATACAAGAGCTTTAGTGAACTTTCTCGCAAGAGTTTTAGCTGATTTTTCTTGAACACTTCTAGACATAACTCTCTTGCTTTTATCTTACACAGTAATAACTGCATATATCCTCAGGTTCTCTATGTGCCGCCACCAGATTTAGAAGCTCGATGTGAGATCCTTCGTGTGCATACACGTAACATGAAGTTAGATGCCGATGTTGACATTAGGCAAGTAGCTGAGAATACGGATCTCTACACAGGGGCAGAGTTGGAAGGGCTGTGCAGAGAAGCCGGAATTGTTGCTTTAAGAGAAGATATTTCAGCCACTGTTGTGTGTGATCGACACTTCCAAACCGTCAGGCAGTCACTAAAGCCAGCGCTCACCCAGGGAGAAATTGAATCATATTCCTCCTTTATGAAGAAGGAGAAGGAGAAGAACCCATCTCTCTGTTCTTCTAGTACACTTGAATCCTCCAGCTACAATCAGAGCAGCAAGACAAGTCGGCATCTTTTGATGAGTCCTGCTCTTAGAATCTGTATTTTTAGTGTAGTTTTGTATGCTGCTGCAATTTATGCGTTCACACCGGCCGTTCTATTGTCTAAAGAACTAAGAAGTACTTAGAATTTCATTGTGTTTGTGTTGCTTAGTTCTGAACAAATATTATGTACGGTACTATATTATATCTAAAAAAGGTAAATCATTCGTTTCAGTAGTGGTATTCATGTGTAGACTTGGTTAAATTTTAGGCTAAAGAGTCAAACAGACCCTCAAACTAACTTAAAAGGTGCCCGACCGTCACCATTTAAGATAAGAATTCAATCGGAAAGATAGTCAAATGATTTTTTGAAATGTACTGTGTTGTTTAACTATGTAGTTATCTTTAAAAATTCATTTAACTATCTTCCCAGTTGAATTTTTAGCTTAAATTTGGTATGGGTAAACCAAACTTAATGAAGAAGATGCTCAAAATATTTCATCAAAAAATTCCACTAGGAATCGCCCCAAATGGCGACGCCAAAAAGAGTCTCCAATATAAGGGATGATTTCCACTTTTTAAGTTAGTTCGAGGGCCTATTTCACCTTTTAGCCTAAATTTTACAAACATGTTTATATTCTAACCCTCTTTTGTAGACTACTATTAATGGTGTATACAAAACAGAATTACAGAGTATATTCTTTTTCTCAGTATTATAGATCAGAATGGTTTAAGAATAGCAGGAATTTCTATAACCTTACTGTTCTAAGTACTCTACAGTCTACATATAAATGTGATACAACTGTATTATTATATTTTAAAAAGGTGAAACATTCGTCTTAGTAGTGGTGTTGTACCATGTATAAACTTGGTTTAAACTTTATCAAACATACTTGAATTTTAACCCTCTTTGTTGACTACTATTAATAGTGTGTACCAAAAAGATATTACGCAGTATATTTTTTTTGTCTCAATATTAAATCGGAAGTGTTAAAGAACGGCATGAGTTTTAGAAGATTATTGTTTGGGAAAACTGTCAAATAGGTCCTCGAACTTTCATAAAAAAGTCAATTAAGTCCTTCTATAGGAGACTATGTCCGGTCGCCGCGATTTGGGAAGGTTCCTGGTGGAATCTTTTGATGAAATTTTTTGAGCATCTTATTCATCAAGTCTAGTTTACTCGTACCAAATTTCAGCTAAAAATTTAATCGGGAGCGCATTCAAATTAATTCGAGAACGCAAACATGCGCAGTTATCTTCAAGAATTAATTTGAATGTGTTCCTGATTGAATTTTTAGCTGAAATTTGGTGTGAGTAAACTAGACTTGGTGAATAAGATGCCAAAAATATTTCATCAAAAAATTCCACCGGGAACTGTCCCAAATCGCGACGGCTGGACACAACCTCCTATAGAAGGACTTAATTGACCTTTTTATGAAAGTTTGAGGACATATTTGACAGTTTTCCCTTGTTGTTTTAAGAACGACTCCATGTTACCATGTATAAATTTGATACAACTGTGTTATATTTTGATGTGTAGACTTGATTTAAACTTTACCAAACATGCTTGAGTTTTAATGCTCTTTGTGGGCTACTATTAAAAGTGTATACCAAATGGATATTGTATTTCTTTGTCTCAGTATTATCGATCGGAATTGTTAAATAAGGGCAGGAGTTTTTAGAAGATTATTGTTCTAAGTAAGCATGGAGATGGTCCGGCGCGGTCGGTCCTGGTTCTAAATAATTGAAGCCCTGTCCCGACCCAATTTGGTCTGGTACCGGTTTCGGTCCGGGTCCGAACATTATTGGACACAAGTAATTCAGATCTATACACCTTTTTAGATTCGAATCTATACATCTCGATCATAAAAGAATCAATAGATAAAGTAATGAATCACAAGGAATCAATAGATTTCTAAAATTTGAGCCATAATATATCGACACAGGATAAAGAAGCATTTCATTTTATATTATTTGAGTTTTATACAGATATATTTAATCATTTGCTTATGTATGTAACAACCAGGGACGGTTTGGGGGGGGGGGGGGGGGGACAACGGAGAACGCCCTAGGCCCGGAAAAAAATAGAAGAAAAAACATGACAAAAATTTTATTTTATATATAGTGTGAGCAGGCTTTTTCTTATTGTTACGTTCAATTAATTAGGCCTAATGTTTAATTTTGTTGACAATTTGAAAATTTAAAACATCAATAACAAATCTTAAATGAAGCCAAGTTTTAAAAAGAATATACACATTAACTTTAAGTAGGTCGGTTGTAGTTTTTAAAAGCAATATAATTGTTGTTGGATTAATAAAAGGCATGCCTTTTCAGTCTTCACATCTCTTTAGTCTTCAAACCTTGTATTCATTTTAATTATAACATAACAAATATATATAATTATTTTAGAGCATGTTGCTCTCAAATCTCATCTCAATTATTTATTTGTTTCCAAATTTCAATGAACTATATCTGAATTCCTCATAGTAGTTTAGAGGACATCAAATTGGCAGTCTTCTTGCACGAGTCCTCTTGTCGGCCAACATTTTGTCTCCTTAGCGGTTTCGAGGATTCAAACTTTAGAATGTCCTCAGCGGTCAATAAATCATTCTCAACTAATGAATTCAATATGTAGTAATATTTCGTATTTCTTTTCATTCATCCTTTCAGTTGTAACTGAAATAAAGTTTAGTGTTGTTATGTGACAATTATATTGTTTGTCATGTTTATTAGTGGAAAAGGAAACATTTTGACAAAAGTTTATTGTTTGTCATGACAAATTTTAGACATGAAATTGACAATAATAATTGTCAAATGGAAAAGGAAATGATTTGATTTTTTTTAGTCTTCATTAAAATTACTACCCCGTCCCAAATTGATTTGCAAATTTGACTTTTCTCGGTCAAATTGTTTCATTTTATTTGCTTAATTAAGATATCAATTTTTAATTATATTCTAATTTGGAGTTTACAACTTTGAAGAGATTTTAATGTAGTTTCTGAATATGTAAATTTTAATTATTAAAAATTCAACTAATTATTGATAGAGAGGATTGACTTTTATTCTTGTTTGACCAAAAATGTTGACTTTGTAAAACAAATTGGGACGAAGGGAGTACAATTTAGCCAAGTATGTATATACATGCAGACCCATGGGCCATGGCTTCTCGAAGGAAAGAATAACTACACTTGTACGTTTAAGCTATGATGATTAACGCCCTTGGTGTATAGGTGGAACCGTGGAATGAATCAAAATTGAAGTCCAAATTTCTATGCTATCCATATTTCAATTTTTGAGTTAATTGCTACTCCATCCCCCTATTATTTGGACAAAAAAGACTCGTTCATGTAGTTGATAACGAATTAATAAAATGAGAATAAAATAAGAATAAGTTAGAGACACAAAAATATTATTAAATACTCTATATGATAATAGACAAATTTAATAAGGCAGACAAAAAAAAATAAAACACTGATATTGGGACGAAGGAATTCATCCAAAAATCCAGTTTTAGAGTGCAATCTAGAACGGGTGCTTGGATTGGAAGCTGTGTGCTGGGGGTTGAGGGCCGGGGCCTGGGGTCTGAGGGTGAGACTAGGGGATGGTTGCTGGGGTGTGAGGGTGAAGCTGGGGGCTGGGGTAGGCTGGGCGAGTGGAGTCTACTGTCAATGGGAGGACTAGGGTGGGCTGGTGGGTCAGGAGGTGGGCTAGAGTGGACTGGTACGACATTGGGCGGGTCTGGGGTGTGATGCAGGGGCTAGGGTGGACTAGTGGGGCATGGGGTGATGGGGCAAGTCTGGGGTATGAAACAGGGGCGGGAGAGGGGTGGTTGGGGGCTGCAGGACTGCCGGAGAGGGGATGGGCTGGGGAGGCTGGCAGTGCACCACTGGCTGCCGCCGGGGGCGGCAGTCGTCTCACCGGTAGTTATGGTTGTGGTCACAATGAAGGCAGTTGGCCATTGACAAAAAATTTGGTAAATGGCCGACAGCGTCACTGGCCGAAATGTAATCGTGGGTGACGAGGTCACCGACTGACATGTCACTATGCGCTGCAAGCTGGCAATGTCACTAGGCGGCAGGTCACTATGGGTGGCAATGCCACTAGTTGGGAATTCATTACGGTGGGCAATAAATTTGTCACTATGACCGGCGGTAGTCAATGTTCCGTTGGCCACTAATGGATTTGTTTCGCTGATAACTTTAATCACAAAGATTTTGGTCACTATGGATGTTGGACTTTTGTAACTATAACGGTGGTCACTGGAGCGGTAGTAGTTGAGAGGATGATAAGTAAAGTAGTAATGACTGGATTGGAGTGGTCACTGGAGCGACAATAACTGGGACGGTGGTAACTGGGACGGTGGTCACTGGAGCGGTAGTAACTGAGATGGTGGTCACTAGAGCGACAGTAACTGAAACGGTGATAAATGGGATGGTGGTCACTGGAGCGGTAGTAACTGAGACGGTGGTCACTGAAGCGGTAGTAACTGAGACGGTGGTCAATGGAGCGGTAGTAACTGAGACGGTGGTCATTGAAGCGATAGTAATTGAAACAATAGTCACTTAAACAATAGTAATTGGAATGGTGGTCACTCGAAAGGTAGTCACTAAAACAACAGTAATTGAACGTTTGTCACTTGGAAAATTTTTCACACAAATTTAGATGTAATAATTTAAATATTTACTCATATTTGCTACTCCATACATCTATATGAATAATAATTCTTATGAAAACGATAATGTATCTTGAGATATACTCCATAAGTAAGTAATATGAAGTATTAAAATGAAAAACACACGGAATAGATTGCAAGATTGACGGACTGAGTGCGTAGGGATTACTCATCCGGATGCAGCGTTGATTTAGAAAGGGTAGTTTAGACATGTATGCCTTTATTAGTCGTACGCTTGGAAATTAAATAGAAATCCCACTTTTTCGTCCATTAGCTTTTGTTTTTTTTACTAATATTCATGTCAAAACCCCATTAAAATCTCAGACCCGTATTTCTGAGATTGTAAATGTCACCCCTCAATTGTCAGAAATGTTGTAAATGTGGTCCGTTTGAGGGGTGAAATATACAATGTGGGCGAGAGTACATTTCACTACTTAAAGGATCACAATTACAACAATTTGGACAATTGAGGGGTGACATTTACAATCTTAGAAATACAGGTATGAGATTTTAATTTTGTGGATAACTGAGGGACCATATATGTGATTTTCCCACTTTATAACCTATAAATAAGTTTGACTTTTTATTTTAGTACTACATTTTTTGAATTAATGATTTTTTTCATTCACTTTGTTGATTAATTGTATTTTGTGTTGCATAAAAATTTTATATTTTTTTCTTGTAAGCCCATTGGAGCCTACTCTATTGGTGACATGTGGACTAGCCCGGTCCAACCACTTAAGTCAATCTATTTAGAAGTTGTTCTGTTCATCTTATTCTTATTACTTATTGCTTATTCTTATTTTATTCAGATCAGATCAAATCAGATCAGATCAGAAAGATTCAGATCAGATCAGAAACATTTAGATCAGATAAGAAAGATTCAGATCAGATCAAGCCAGATCAAAAACATTCAGACCAGAAGCATTCAGATCAGATCATATCAAAAAATTTCAAACATGATTTATCACTTTTATTATTATAAAACATTATTATTATTATTATTATTATTATTATTATTATTATTATTATTATTGAAATCAGGTCAGAAAGATTCAGATCAGATCAGACCATATCAGAAAGATTCAGATCAGACCATATCAGAAAGATTCAGATAAGAAAGATTCAGATCACTAGATCAGATCAGAAAGATTCAGATCAGATCAGACCAGATCAGAAAGATTCAGATCAGATCAGACCAGATCAGAAAGATTCAGATCAGATCAGAAAGATTCAGATCAGATCAGAAAAATTCAGATCAGATCAGTACTTAATAAATTCAGATCAGAAACATTCAGATCGGGTGAAGAGAACAACTTCTTAGACGGGATAAGGCTATATTTTTTTTATTAAAAAAAGCATGGCTCGATCTATTAGGATGCTTCTTTTGGACTGAAATTTGCTGGTCTGGTATGGTCTGATTTGGTAAACGTCTGGTTTGATCTGGTAAACGTCTGGTCTCTGTGTATTTTATAATTATGGAAGTCTTGTCTGATATAGTCTGGTCTGGTCTGTTCTGATCTGGTCTGGGATTGAAAACAATACAAAAGAAAACATCCCTAATCAATTTTTTATAAATTGAGCCAAACCCAATCAAATCTATACCCATTAGTTTTCCATGAATGTGGCCCTATCCATTCACGATCCCTACCTCTAAGTCTTCATATAGGGATACCATTCAATTTTAAAAGTAAGCAATAGAGTTTCTGATTTCGATTTACTATCAACAATCTTCCCTATCGAGAAAGAGTGTTTTTCATTCTTGAAACTTTGCGGAAACTCACTATAAACTCTCTCAACTCTTCTTTATGCTAAAAGGTGGTCAGGACCCAGGAGCGGAGGGTGGAGGCCTAGCCGCCTAGGGAGCCCTGGCACAGGGTAAATTTTTTATTTTTATGTATTGTACTTCAAATATATATTAAAATATAATTTTTTAAATATATAATAGGGATGAGAGGTCTACGGTAATCGTCAATGGCTGTTTGTTGCCCAATTTAGGTCTAGCGAGTTATATTGTTTTGTCAAAGGTGATTAACTCAGAGTTTCGGCCAAAGGCGGATGATTACATGTGGTCCTTTTGTTATCCTGTACTCTTGCTGAATGCTATTTTATTAATTTAAAGCACTTTGACGATAAAAAAAATATATAATCTGGGGCCTAGTATATTAAAAGAAGGGAATTTTTCATAAATAGACTAAAAATTGAAAGTAATATCACTTTTGTCACCCTTAAAAATTTCTTTCAATAATAGTTTACTTCAAAGTCTCTTTTCAAAAATAGACCAGTCCGCTCCTCCGCGTATGTAGCTCACCGACTTAAATTTATTCTCCTAGCACAGTTACACGTGCACCCATCCACGTAACGTTTCAATCAGTGCTCCACTTTTCACAAAGCATTACTCTTCGTATGAAATTACAAAGAATATGTAGGCACTCAACTTTGATAATGCATAGAAATCAATAAATTTTAAAAAAGGAAATTGATTTTAAAAAAACATTTAAAACTCGAAATAAAAAACTAAAATTCAGATGTGAAATTAGAAAATTATAAATTAAATTTACAAATTAAAGAAAATGAATTTAAATTTTATAAAAAAGTTTGAAAAAAACACCTAGAAATCATAAAATAATAAAACTTGAGAAATAATTTTCAATGTAGTCTTTTTAAATAGATAATATCATTTATTTTATAAAATAAAAAAAATAAATAGTTTTATAAAAAAGTTTAAAATAGTTAAAAATTCGATAACTTTAAAATTATAAAATATACATAAAATAAGAAATCAAATAATATTAAAGAATCTTTTATGAAAGAGATTCTTTAATATTTAATAACCTTTTCAAAATATTTAATAATATGAAAAATAATCGGAATCTTTTATGAAAAAGTAATTATTTTAAAAAATTGGAAAATACACATATTAAAGAAAATAAAAAATCAAATAAATATGAAAATTTTAAATGTTTCGAAAAGTTAAATTAAATTTATATTACTGTGGAAAAAATAAAAATGCATTACATAAAATTATGAAAAACCGGAAAATTAAAGCAACCTTAAAAGACTTTAAAATTTAAATAATCGAGAGAATAAAAATATGAAAAATTAAAATAATGAGCTTGGAAAATATTAAAAATTGAAATATAAAAATACGAATTTTATAATGTAAACTTTTTAAAGCACTTGAACTATTTCATTATTATTTTATTATTTTTTTTGTTGCCTATTGTTTCTCTGTGTTTCTATTTGTTTATAATTATGAAATTTTTGTTTTTTATTGTTTCTTTATGTTTCAAATTGCTATTTATTTTCATAAATGATAAATCTAATTTATCATTCTAGGTGTTTGGTTGTAAATCTATATAGCCCGTAGACGTATTGAAGGTGATATAAAACAAAGATCTAAAAACAGTTATTAGTAACACAATACACCAATAAGCAACACGATGCAACAAAAATCAACATGTTGAAACAAAAAGAAACATGATGCAACAAAAAGTAATACACATGATACAACAAAAAGAAACATGATACAACAAAAAGTAATACACATGATACAACAATAAGAAACAAAAAAATACAGTGTCACAATAAGTATATAATTCAACTTGTTAACTAAATTTATTACATGTATCTACGTTGTATCAGTGTATTGTGTTATATTTGATTTTGCTTCTTCACATTTTTCTTCCACTTATGGATTTCAACACACAATCCCTTGTTTTTTTCTTTGTCTTCATTCACTCGTTGATCTCGAAAACTGTCACAACCACAAGTGTATCATATTGAAAACTGTATATAACAAAACATTAGATCAATACAGTAAAACGAGGAATAAAACTGACATTCAAGACATTGAGAACCATGTTATACCCATCGTTAAGTCCGGATGTGAGTGCATTAACTATGGCAAAAGGAAGATATAACAAAGACTGCAACACAAATACATATCAAGTGATAGGTTCGAGTTTAAATAATTTGATGATGATTCCTAGCAGAGAAATGCTACCACTTCATGTAGGCACACATTCTTCATAGTTAGCCCCATAAACATCAACTACCTATCTCCACATTTATAGTTTGCAAAGGGAGGAAGATTTAGGAGATAGGCAGTGGAAATTTATCCTGAATCTGTTCACATAAATTGCACAAGGTTGGAGGAAAAAGCACTATGGACCCTCTGCCATCCATTGCCGTAGAGCGGTTTCATGAGTGGGGGATTCTTTTCATTCAACGTTGAATGCTTTTTCTATATCAAAATGGAAATCGCTTGCTAAAGTTTTCAGTTGTTGTTCTTTAACTTGCAACCATCATTGGCATATATAAAATACAGGGGACATCTTAGAAAATTGTCTGGTGTAAAAAATTTAAATAAATAAGGTTGTAAATAAGAGCAACACCACTAAATAAAAATGCATCAAAAGGTGTCAGAATTAGAGTGCAATGTCCTCACACTACTTAGAGGTATATTTTCCATGAGATATTGTGGAGCGATACACACATCTTATCTCAATCTCAATACAAGACACAAAATAAAACTAAACCTATTCTGGATTACTTAATATTCTAAAAACAAAATTTGTGAGCATATTAAAAACAAACCCTTTCTTTACTAGGCATTATACTGTACCATTGCAATTACAAACAAAAAAGAAAAAAAGATGGGAGATACATTTATTGGCCAAACCAAAACACTTGATGAATGACTGGATTGTTGATGTTGTGTTATGCTATTATTGTACTCATTATAACTATACGGATAGTGCTATCCTAGAGCCAGCATTAGTAGACAACTAAACAGTTAGATGAGTCTCAACTCTAGAACAATGAAGTACAAAACACATTTGACATTCAAACTAATATCAACTACAACCTGTTTCTGATAAAAGCTTGCATAGTACGTAGTATAATAAATTAAGTAGTGGTGAGGATTCATTTCATAATCAAACTGTGCCAAGAGAGAGTTTTTGTTTTTGAATAAAATGAAGATAAATAAAGTAAACACCCATGTCACTTACTTGAATTATGATGACACCTTCCTTGACAACCTTTTCCATAGCCTTTGCAATGAACTCACCATCGTTCACCATTTGCAGAGATTATCCCAACCTATAAACATATGAGATGGAGTAACTAGTATCATTTCTGAAATCTTAAACAGGTGAATGAAATGAGAATAAAGACAATGGGGGGAAAAGAAATACAAAGTGTGATTGTATACAGAGAAATTCAAATCCACAAATGCCAAGGGAGTGCAACTATATGTTTATATGTTTCAAACGAACACTTGTAAAACTTTAAAAGCAAAACACTCAAAAATGGTCATATATCCGGGCAATTTCCTCAGATGTGCTAATCATTCTTCTTTTGCCCTTCAAGTTTGTTACAACGGCATCAACAACCATGGCGATTCCACATCTGAGGTCCATTGCATTCATACCTGCAACAACTGACTTGCAGCCTTCAATAGATATGTAGATATTAAGTGACTTAAAACAAAAATTATTAAATAAATGATATAGATAAAAAAACGGCATCAAGTGATTAATGCAAGAGAGGTCGTGAACTAAACCGAAGTACGGAACTCAGACTTTGAGACTTTTCATTCGGTGGAAAAATCCTAACAATTAGACCTGACTTTTCAAGTGAGGCTAATGCGAAGAAGGTTAATTCTATTCTTCATCGCAAAGGCTCTCGCTGGACGCCAGAAGAAGATTGACTCTCTAACCTACAACGGAAACACATGGAGGCATCCGCTCTTTGTTCTCGGTTTGTTGCCATCAGATCGATCTCTTGGCTCCTTTGACGATTAGATCAACTAACACCGATCTCCAGGCCTCCGTCGAGCTCTCGTAAAATATTTCCCGGCAACGAGAAACTCTAATCCATTCCGTCTGACCGCCTCTCATGTATTCCTCGACATATATCTAACTGCGTAGGAGGTCGGCTAAACTGATCCAAAAGTGAAATAAAAAAAACAAAATTGAAAATTGAAAAGTTTAAAAGTGAAAAGAGAAAATAGTTAAGACATAAATGATATGTGGTACCTAAAACTGGCCCAAACGGGTAATTTCCACTTAAAAGAATAACAAAAGTATCATCTGGCCCAATGGAAAAATAATCTGGGCCAGTGCCAGCCCATTGGGCAGACCAAATCAAAGAAAAATCTTCCCTTTCTCCCAATTTCTGCCTCACCCAGTCACGTACCCCGCCCCAGCCCCGCGCCCCACCCGCTTTGCGGCCTGGTAGTTCTTCTCACTTCTCAGCTTCTCGGAGTTTTGGCTGCCATCTGCAGTTCAGCTCATCGGCTCAACAACCCCAGCGGCCTAGTAGGTTAGTTAAGTGGCCGGTATTCTTTATTTTTTTATTTTGAATTACGTACATAGCTAATATCTTAAAAATTGCTATCTTGATTTTTAAATGTTCTGTTTGAGTGCTTAATTGTTTTAGTTTTTAAGTGTTTCGCTAATGTGAATTTAACCATGTCAATATGTTTTACGATTGGTGAATCATTTGTCATACTCCGTATTCTAATTTCATTTGTGAAATTGAGAATTAGGATGGTCAATTTCTTAACATATTAATAAAACATACTACGTATGTGATTGAAAATAGTACTCTTTATACTGATTATTTTATTAATTTTTATCAATTTAAGCAGGTATGACTACCCAATGTACTTCAAAAAAGGCAAAAATAATATTGCTTCGTTTTGAAGCCCGCAAGTACACAAAACAGACAAGAGTTAAATAAAAACTTCTTTGAAATTCCAAATATTTCAGCCGCTCTTAAAAAATGAAAAATCATTGCATTCGTTTTTTAAACCTACTACAATATAAATTTTAGAGATAATTGGGTGTATATACGTTTTTTAATACATACATTTAAGTTTATGTTATATATTTACAAAAATTAAGTGCATAGCCCTTTAAATTATCCTAGAAGCTTATGAGTTATATGAATATCGGATATCAACACCGAAATCCATGGATTTGATTTTATCTAAATACAGTTTTAATTATCAAATACGATCGAGTCTTGTATTTGACTCAACCGTATTTTTATATTAATTGCTAAAGTGATATATTCTTTAATAAAAATAATAGAGGTTATTAACTAAAAGTAACCTATTTGTTTAAGCTATATAGTCATTTCTCCCTAAATTTTAATGAATTTTAATCATTTTATTCGAACTATATACTAGTTTAAATTTTGACATAGCGTTTTTTTAGTTTACCTCCGGTCCACCCTGAATGTTGGTTATGGCTCCGCCCCTTAAGATGGTGTTTCCTGTTTCACATTTCAGCACGCCTCCTACACTTCCGTGCAACATAGATGGCATTATTGTATTACTCCCTCCGCCCCCTAATATTGGGACGGAAGAGAGTGAGGTAGTTTTTAAGAAAAGTAGATTTATGTGGTTCATACTGACTTAATGAGTTGATAAAGTGAGAATAAACTAAGAATGAATTAGAGCCACACAAATGTTACCAATATGATATGAGACAATGATAGGGGGACATCCAAAAATGAAAAAATGGGACAATTAAGGGGGACGGAGGCAGGGGCGGACCGTGTGTTGTTCAAAGGTGTTCACGTGAACACCCGGAATTTTCCAAAAAAATTAAAAACGACGTCGTTTTGTGCGTTTAACTAAAAAATTAAAACTCCGCCGATTTGCCTTTACTGCTATGTCGTATCCCAGAAGGTTGAAAGCCAGAATTCAGAAGCAGATCGGAGAAGCCCAAACCTGTTTTGCTTCGTTCCAATTTCAAACGACCAGTGCCGCTAGGTCTTCTCACAAAGTCACAAATCACGCAGCAAGTCAGTCCCGCACTCCCGCTCCCGGCTTGAGACTTCCAGTACTTCACCGCAGCACTGTCTCGACACAATCTGCAACCACCGCTCCTCTGCCGCTGCCGCTCTGCTACGGCGCTAGGCGCATGCGGACTCGCCACTCACGCCTCAGCCAAGACAGCCAACTGAGCTAAGCACTCGGTAAATTTCTAAATTGGATTTCTACTTGTTTGTTGGTAACAATTGTACTCCGTATGTCGGTAGGTGTAATTTGTATTTTGACATTTTGGGAAAAAAGATGATATTCCGTAAATGATAAATTGATCATGTCAGATTCAATATTGATATGTTTCTTTCAAGTTACAAACTTACCCCTTTTTTGATAATTAATATACTAAAAAGTACAAACAAAACATACTAAATGACCTGGTTGTCTGGCAGTTCAGCACTTTGTTAAGTTTGGTCCCTGGCAGACTTGAGAACCGAAGTGGCAGTAATGAAGAACTTTTAGATTATTTTCAGAAAAACATGAGCATTAGGAAAAATAAGTTAATGTAGTACTTTTATTATACTTTATTAATATACTATGCTTTGGTTTGCAATGTAAGGCTTTCTTATCGACAAATATGCAATTGTTGAATTACATGATCATTGTGATAATTTTAATTTTAATTTAGTTTCGAACACCCAAAACCTGAGGTCTAGATCCGCCACTGGACGGAGGGAGTATTATTTTTTAAAGAAAACCAATTATTTACTTGCACACTTAAATCAAATTCCATTGTAGTTACATATGTAAAATTGAAAGCACCAGTTTCGCGAGCCAGCAATATTAATCTTAATAATCTAGATTTTTTGAATTTACAGTTTAGATTAAACAATTAGCAATGAGATGCCAATGCATTATTATTTGCGGTCAACTATGTTCAAGAAAGGTTAGTGGATTACTAATATTAATCGTCCAGCATGAGACGCTTGAAGAGATTGATTTTGAAGCTATGATTGACGATTTTGCTTCACAATCTTGTATGAAAGATGTTTTTAAATTTTACATTTATGTTTTAGCTTTAATTGTTATTTGTGGTGCTATTTTTATTTATATATGCAACTTATCAGATGAAAGGTATTACTATTATTATATCTTTTAACATAGTTTTATCATATTCAATACTATGACAAAGTATGAAATATAAAAAAATTGAGAAAAAAGTCAAAGAGTTTTGCTCTGTCCTGACAAACAGGAAGGCCCTGTCTCAGTCAACAAATTCTGGAAGACTAATCGGTTCCTGAGCCTATCATGTTAATTCGGAGTATTAATTTACCTATTGTAGTGTTTTGAAAATAATCTGAGTGGTTTCCTTTGATTTAGTTTGTGTTTTTTTTATTTATTTGTCCCGACTGCACCACCATGACATTGTAATTTCTGCTGTAGGTTTTCATTTGCCAATCCTGTAACCCTAAAAGCTGCCTTGAAAACCTATTTGGAAGAACGATTTAGAAACATACAATAAAACTTCTAATGGAAAGCAGCAATGGAAGTACAACTGGAGGCAGAGAGTGGATGGCTGAGGATGCCATTGCTGGAAATGCAGAGGCGGTCCGTGCTCTTCGGGAACTCATTATGTATCCACTCCTGTATTCTCAAGAGTCTCAAAAGCTTGGCCTCAAAGTAATTTGGATACGAATGTTTTTGTATAGTTCCCCTCACTAATAATATTGATAGACTTGTTTATTTGTGGGTATCTTTCATTGTCTTCTTATAGTGGCCTCGTGGCTTGTTGCTCTATGGTCCACCTGGTACTGGAAAGGTAGATACACATTTATTCTCTTGTCTTCTTATTTTTCTCACAATGCAAATGGTGATCAAGCTAAGAGATAGATAGACAAGAGAATAAATGTGTATCTACCTTTCCAGTACCAGGTGGACCATAGAGCAACAAGCCACGAGGCCACTATAAGAAGACAATGAAAGATACCCACAAATAAACAAGTCTATCAATATTATTAGTGAGGGGAACTATACAAAAACATTCGTATCCAAATTACTTTGAGGCCAAGCTTTTGAGACTCTTGAGAATACAGGAGTGGATACATAATGAGTTCCCGAAGAGCACGGACCGCCTCTGCATTTCCAGCAATGGCATCCTCAGCCATCCACTCTCTGCCTCCAGTTGTACTTCCATTGCTGCTTTCCATTAGAAGTTTTATTGTATGTTTCTAAATCGTTCTTCCAAATAGGTTTTCAAGGCAGCTTTTAGGGTTACAGGATTGGCAAATGAAAACCTACAGCAGAAATTACAATGTCATGGTGGTGCAGTCGGGACAAATAAATAAAAAAAACACAAACTAAATCAAAGGAAACCACTCAGATTATTTTCAAAACACTACAATAGGTAAATTAATACTCCGAATTAACATGATAGGCTCAGGAACCGATTAGTCTTCCAGAATTTGTTGACTGAGACAGGGCCTTCCTGTTTGTCAGGACAGAGCAAAACTCTTTGACTTTTTTCTCAATTTTTTTATATTTCATACTTTGTCATAGTATTGAATATGATAAAACTATGTTAAAAGATATAATAATAGTAATACCTTTCATCTGATAAGTTGCATATATAAATAAAAATAGCACCACAAATAACAATTAAAGCTAAAACATAAATGTAAAATTTAAAAACATCTTTCATACAAGATTGTGAAGCAAAATCGTCAATCATAGCTTCAAAATCAATCTCTTCAAGCGTCTCATGCTGGACGATTAATATTAGTAATCCACTAACCTTTCTTGAACATAGTTGACCGCAAATAATAATGCATTGGCATCTCATTGCTAATTGTTTAATCTAAACTGTAAATTCAAAAAATCTAGATTATTAAGATTAATATTGCTGGCTCGCGAAACTGGTGCTTTCAATTTTACATATGTAACTACAATGGAATTTGATTTAAGTGTGCAAGTAAATAATTGGTTTTCTTTAAAAAATAATACTCCCTCCGTCCAGTGGCGGATCTAGACCTCAGGTTTTGGGTGTTCGAAACTAAATTAAAATTAAAATTATCACAATGATCATGTAATTCAACAATTGCATATTTGTCGATAAGAAAGCCTTACATTGCAAACCAAAGCATAGTATATTAATAAAGTATAATAAAAGTACTACATTAACTTATTTTTCCTAATGCTCATGTTTTTCTGAAAATAATCTAAAAGTTCTTCATTACTGCCACTTCGGTTCTCAAGTCTGCCAGGGACCAAACTTAACAAAGTGCTGAACTGCCAGACAACCAGGTCATTTAGTATGTTTTGTTTGTACTTTTTAGTATATTAATTATCAAAAAAGGGGTAAGTTTGTAACTTGAAAGAAACATATCAATATTGAATCTGACATGATCAATTTATCATTTACGGAATA